AACTGGGAACGCACGACAGGCTGGATCGGCTGAGTAATGGGACTCTTTTCGAAGAGGACAAGGGAACACAGAGGAAGTCTCAGGGAGAGTGGCAATCATCGATTGGATGCTTCCGACCTTGATTGAGGTCACCTGTGATGCTCCACAACACGCCGCCCCGTTGTGCAAGCCGATGGTAGAACAGCTAGATGGCTTTGTGCAAAGCATCCGTGGGTCTGCCTGACGATCTTCAAACTGCCATCTGTTACGAGCCAATGTTGTGGAACAGGTTCACGAGAACGCGTGACGAAAAGGGGTCACTTGGGGACGCAGACCAGTGCCACCCCCCAAAACCAGGGCTGTCTTCGCTCCTTCCTTGTATGCCCCAGCTCTCTGCGGCCTCTTCCCGCAAAAATTTCTTGACATTCCACCGCAAAAGCCAGCCCAATTCTTGTCCCTGCAGACCAGGAAGCCATCCATCCCATGTGGACGGAAAATATCGCCATGAAATGGCCACCAACCTGGTATCGTCCGGCGGAACGACCGCGATCGCCCGCCCCGACGCCGTCACAACGGCCTCTTTCCAACTTCGGCGGGTTCGCCCGCATCCCTCTAGAACTGCGTCGCGAAATCCTCATCTGGGCGTTTGGGGAACGCACGCTGCATCTCGACCTTCGGCTTGACGAACCACCATACATGCCATCTCGTACGGCAAACCGGTCCAATGCAATATACTTCCCGCCTAAAAACTGGACCTGGTGGAGCTACGAGTGTCATCGTCAACCCCTCTCACTGTCCGCAAGCTCCCGCCATCGTACAGCAAAAGATGTCAGCGCCTATAAGTACCCTTGGAGCGACGCGTGTGCCCTACAGATAGCGTCTCTCGGCTGTGTTTCAATCAGGAGAAGGACGGCCCCTAGAAAGCCTCCGAGTCAGTCTTGGGAACGCAAACCCCCTTTGGGAATCATGGGCTGGCTTTTAGCCTGCCGGCAGGCGTACGCCGACGGCGTTGACATCCTGTACTCGACCAACACCTTTTTCGTCGAGAGCGTTCAGTTGTTGGACGCTATCCTCTTTCCTATCCCGACTTTCGTTGTTCCAGAGAGACTGGCCCTCATCACCTCGCTAGAGCTGCGATGGGACATTCGGGTCTGGTTGTATCACGATTCTAACACCAGCCCGGCGCCCCAGGAACGGCAGTTGGCATTGCTACCAGAATTTTTCCTCCATCTACGCCACCTCTTTCTCTCTTTTTCTTACTTCCCCCAAGGATGGCCGGCTGTGGGGCAGCGCTCCCACGGGCTGTCTGACGTTGACATAGACCACCGGATTCTGCAGCCCGTGGCGAACGCCGTGTCACGATTCCGTCTGAGAGCACGGAAACAGTCCGTTATTGTCGAGCTACCATCACTGGTATTCGCCCATATTCGGAGCCTGCCAGGCCTTGCGCTGGAAGAAGAACGACACGGCAACGATTCTGGAACCGACCATGGGGTCTGGTTGAAGTATCCGGTGGCTCGCAAAGCCCGTGGAGACGCAAGCCCCACGGCTGGTCACGAGAACAATACCATCTTCTATTACATCAAACAAGGCGTGGACGGTGGTCCCGACGGGGGCCTAGAAGCGAACTGCTACCTTTATGGTCCGTACGTGGGCGCGTCGTCCGTTTGGGGCGCCTATGTGCCTCGCTAGTAGAGCAAGACGGGAAGGGGGGGGGGGGGCACAAGGAACCATTGAAGGAACAGTCAACTCATCATAACGCTTGGTTCTGTCGTACTATTCCGGTTATTCTCGGGGTTTTAGTCCGCATGCGCTCTTCGATTCTACAACTAAGTCCACTCATACAACGACCTTCGTATCCTACTCCCAAACCTCAGGCGCTCGGTGAAAGCATTGTCGAACATGCGAGTCTAGTTCAGTTCGCGATACACCTTCTGCCACGTCTCCAAGTCCGGATACCACTTTCCCACATCATCGGCCGTGGTAAACCCCCAGTCCAACCCCCAATGGGCCGACGGTGTTTAGGGGGAGCCCAATCGATGGACAATCAGGGACACAAGAAGGACAGTTCCGGGGACAGAAGGAGAGCGTCTAGTGGGTTTTTTTTATTCCTACACAGTTCTGCACCACCATTGACATGCCTCGCAGAAGCTGACGCCGCAGCGCGTGCGTTGATAGCACGACGTTCCAGATCTCGTGCTTCACACTACGGATGTGCCCCGACTGGATAGATCGTGGGGGCAACCAGCGATGTTCCGAGTCTCCAACACGATTGGCCAAAAGCAACAACCTCAGCTGGCTACCTCGAAGCCGCTAATGCGACAGACAGATGGCCGGATGTAGCCGTCCCAATTCGGATTCGGCTCAGAATATCTGGACCTCACCCGTGTACAGCACAACCTTGCCACCATGCTTCTCCTTCGTTGTCGTGGCCAGGAGGTTATAAGTACCATTGATCGTCTCCTCCACCGAGCCCGGCGCCTCGGCTAGGCCCATCAAAATACGCGCGCCCTCGTTGCCCATTTCCGTTTTGACCCAGCCGGGGTCGACGATCAGCGTGTTGAGCCAGTCGTTCTCAGCGTTGATGCGGATTCCATACCAGTGAAGCGCCGCCTTGGTGGCCCCGTAGTTGGCGCTGGGAACGGGCGGTTGTCGTCTTCGTATCGCGTCAGTCACCTTTCGTCACAGTTGATCTGATTTTTGGAGACAACTCACCCCAAGCCTCCCGATCCAGATCCCATCAGCGCGAGGACGGGTTTCCCAGGGGACTTTTGCAGGAGGTCTCTCGTGGCCTGGTACAGCGCTATCGGTCCAAACACGTTCACCTCGTAGTGCTCGAGCATCTCGCTGCGCACGGCGTCCTTGACGAGGGGGTAGCTCTTGGCAATGGCCGCATTGGCGATGACGATGTCGAGGTGGGATACGCCCTGCGCCTGCGCTTGTTGGACGGCGTCCTTGGCGGAGTCCCACTGGGAGGCGTCGTACTTGACGACGATGAGATTGCTTCCAGCGCCTTTGGGGAGTTCGAAGAGGGCTTGAGAGGTGGGATGGTTGGGATCGCGGTTTGCGGCGATGACGGTCTAGGGGTTGTTAACAACCCCTTATGGAGGAAAAGGAGATAAACGCCTTACATAGTTCGGCTGGGACAGGTACTTGGCGACGAGACCAAGGCCTATGCCGCGGTTGCCGCCGGTGATGAGGACTGTTGTTGTAGACATGATGTGAAAGGGCAGGGAGGTGAAGTTGGCTGGGTGTGATCCTTGAAGCTGCTGGGGGTAGGGCTTCAAGGAGTGAGCGGAAGAGTCAATGATTCAGGGTTAGAAGCTCTCCTTTGTAGGTAGATACCTGATCTAGATATGGTCCAAGCCTAGTATTTCTCCACTTTCCTAAACTCGCAACGGCTCCATCTTGGCGCTGCCTTGGATGACAAATTCGCGGCGCATTACCAATCTAATGTCAATCGATGAAACTTTTTGCGAATCTGACCGCTAAGCCTGGTGGAACAGGATTCTACCGCTTGCTACGAACTGATGTATAAAACAACGCCTTTCCCTCCGTCGTATCCCTTGCGTTGTCTGTGGTCGAGTTGCGTGCTGAGAGGGAGTTGGCAGGCTCTCTGGAAGGCATGTTGGATGCGCTAGTGTTTGTGTTTGAGCGGTGCAATTATTGTTGACTTGGTCGCCGTGTTCGTCTTGTTCTCATTAGTCTGCGGTGTCTTGTTTGCAGATGCAGACTAGGGAGGATTCTAGGGAGGATCCTAGAGGATTTTCGGCGAGACACACGGTTGTGCTGAACAGGAGCACGACAAGAAGCCTTTTGCGGCTAAAATGCGTGTACTTACCAAGATGCAAATCCAAAAGGACTCCAAAGAACTTGAAATCATTCTTCATTAATACAATCCTCCTTGGCCATGGTTCTAGCACACACCCGCTCCCATCACCTCTCACACCCTCAAGGGCACGACCCCATCACGGCCCGCCTGCACGTTCCTCCTGTGCAGCCAGCACCTGTTTTTCCCTTCGCTTCTTCAACCACCTTGGATAAAAGAAGGCGATAAGAAAGACCAATATAAACAAGCCTCCAACTCCGACAATGATGCCAATGATCGCAGCCTTGCCTAACTTTCTTCTCTTGACTGCTCTTCGGGCGGCTACGTGTGCAATCGCTGATGTGCCGCTTTCTGGGAAATTGAGGGTTAGACTTGTTATTGACTGGAAATGAGAGTGCCGTACCGAGAATTGATGCTCGTGAGAGGAGTGCAGGCATTGGTGTTGTGTGGGGAATGTTTGTCGTCGCTGATAGGTGAGGTGATGTAGAGCTGACGGAGTCGAGAGAGCTCTGTCAAAGGGGGCGTTGCTATCAGAATCGAGACCAGGCTGTGGGGGCAGGTCCGACTTTTTACATGTCCTGGTTGAGCCCTCGTTGGCAAGGGCCAACAAACCCAAGAACGCCTCATGGGCGGCGGCGGCCGCAGCTAACGATTTTGGGGGCGGCTAGAGTGTCGGAAGGATTTCAACTTGGCGTCAGCGTGCGGCACTGCATTTGCTGACCGCAATTATCACGTGTATCAATTGGGAGGCCTGCTTCCTGGGTCATATTTGTGAGCTGATTGGCTCCCGCCTCTGTTAGCCCCTGGAGATGCAGCCTTGTCAAAATCGTCGGTAGGATTGATATCAGCGGCAAAGTTTCATTTTGGGGTCATGTTTGAAGTTGTTGGTGGCGCAAGTGTAGGTGTTCAGACAGAAGGAACCACAAGTTCACTGCTACCTAGAATCAAATACGCGAGGAGGGAAATGCTGCCCAACGCCAAATGGACAGACTGAACACAGTTTCAAGTACTGGGAAAGTCCTTGATATTTTGGAACTCTTCACATCACTTCTTTCGTCCCAACAGCATTGTGCTCCACGGCAAGCATTGGTTTGAGTGACAAAACACCACAGCTGCTCAGGCCTGGCAAACAGACAGTCAATGCCCATCCCTCCGGCACACTCAACCCCGACAATACTATGCAGACAACAAAGGCTGCCTGGCGCAACGGCAGCGCGTCTGACTCCAGATCAGAAGGATATCCGTTCAAATCGGGTGGTGGTCAAAGTCATTGCATCTCAGATGCGAACCCCCTTTTTGCTGCTCGCCCCAAGACAACCCACACACACTCCAGGCTTCGCTCTCTTTTGCCACACCAACTTGTTTCCCTTCTCCCTTCATATGCCATGCAAAAAGAGAATTGGCTAATTGTATCCAGAAGCGACAACCACCAAAAATGAACCTTGCGGTTTATGTGGATCGAACACATGACCTCCAGATATCAATTGGATTGATGGAATGAAGTTGAACCTTCAGTCTGGCGCTTTCCCAACTGAGCTAAACCCGCCTGTTGATGTTTCTCCTTGGCATCCAAAGCGACACATAGAGACAACAGCGCACCGAAGGCACCCTCCACGATCTTCACGCGAAATGTTCAAGATATCCAACTCCTTTGTGGATGAACGAATCAAACCAATACAACCTCTCTCATTGTAGTATCCCCCTCCTCGTAGATCGGTAGCCGATCCGGCGTATACATCAGCAACCCAACCCTTGCAAACTTCTCCGGGCTTTCAACCACGCGCCTCAAGACGAGAGACATGTGATACGCGTGCGACGAGCCATCCCAGTGCTTGATGAAGAGACACCAAACCGGCTCCGCAAACTCTTCGCAAGACTTAAACGTGTGCCGCCACACGTTGAGTGACGTGCAAGGCCCCTCCCATCCGTACGGCAAGGGCCAGCCCGTCTTCTCATCACCAGAACTCTCGACTCAACCAGGATCACACCCCGTCCAGACGGTGTCATCCTCCGGCAGCGCATCCAAAACAGTGGCTCAGCGTTGCATAGACTTGACTTTCGCCGTGGGAGGTATGGAGGTGGATGTCGTCGTTGGTCTGGCCGAGAGCGAGGATTCTGTCTGGTAGTCGGGTGGCTTGGATGGGAGGGCAGTTTTCGTGGTTTGAACATTCGGCAATCCGCGACTGGACCCAGCCAAAAGAGGCGGTGTACGGGGACCGCAAGGCGCCGGATCTCCCGCGGTCGTTAGCATTCAGCTCTGAAATTGCCCTTGCCAGATTGGATTCGAGGTCTTCGACAGGGAGAAAGTGTATTTCGACAACGAGTGGTCGCTTTGAGGGGGTTTGGCAGTGGACTTTGATGGAGCGGTAGCCCTCGTTGTTGAGTGTGAGTTCAGACCTGCTAACCGCGTTGAGTTCCGCATCCTGGACAATGGCGAGCACAAAATGGCAGATTTGGCAGTCGGCTGCGGCGTTGACGAGGGCGGCAAAGTCATTTATCACGATGGTCGGCTCGCCAGGTGCGGGGCGGGCAAGATCTCGACACACGCAGTTCATTGCAAGTGCCGGGTCCGTCTTCGCAGGTAAGCCTAAAAGTCGGGGGCAAGCGGGTTCTGAGGCCAGGAGTAAGATAAAGGGTGATTCCTGTGGCGTTGATGTTGTGAGACTTTTATTGGAGGCTTGAAGTTGAAACCCAGAGGGTGTTTGTTGGCAGGTGCCCGGTGGCAATGCCTGAGGTTCCAAGGCGGCTTGCAGTTTAGCATCCAATCAGTCCTTGATAAGGTGGAGCACCGCCCACCACGGCCGCAGAAGCGAGGGCGGTGCCGGACTTCTGTGCAGGTGCCCACCTGCAGTTTTCCCAATCAGAGTGCCTGGCCTCGAAGCTAGGCGTCTCTTGGTGAGGATAGGTAGGACAAGCCAACCCCTCTTTGACAGGCAGGGAGGTATATACCTACCTACTGACCCACCCATCCTCATAGGTGATGCTCCTGCTGCTGTTCGCAATGGATGGAAGTTTTCTTGCTTCCTGGCCCGACGGCGCGTTGACAGGTTGTCTTGACACTGAAGCCCACCATTCAACATCATGGAAGCATTGGCCGCGGTGAGCCTCACTGGCAACATCCTGCAGTTCCTGGACTTCTGCGGCAAAGTAGTGTCGGGCTCTCGAGAGATCTACCATTCCTTCAGCGGCACAACCAAAGAGTACGAAAGCCTCGAGCAGGTCTACGAATGCATCAGCGAGATCAGCGCCGGCCTGGTTCCCCCGCTTTCGCCCGAGGCGCTCCGAAAGCTGCCGCCCGAACAGCGGCCGACCGAGATGGAGATCAGGCTCGCCTGGCTCGCCATGCGATGCAAGGAGGCCTCCGACCGGCTGCTGAAGGACTTGAAGGCCTCTCGAGTGGAAAGCCGTGCTTCGCGCAGGATGGCCGCGAGCCTTTTGCTGTCCATCAAGAACGCGCTCGGTCGCTCCCGCCTCAAGTTGCTGGAGAAGGAAGTCCAAGAATGCCGCAACAATCTCATGTACTGCCTCGAGTCCATGACAATGTGAGCTATCCCGAGAAGAACGTTGTTTTTTCCCTGTGTCTCGCTACGAACACGGACGAATGGCGAGGGGAAAGATTCTGACGCCCTTCCTACCCACCTTGCAGACAGAAAAGTTCCAGTCTGGTCAAATACGTGGAGGCGCTCCAGCGTACTCAGCTCAACCTCGTGCACGATCATTCAGGAAAAGCACAACAAATGACAGAGCTCCTGCACGACATCCACCTCGGGGCGCTCAAGTTTCTGGAGAATAATGAGCTAAAGCAGGAACAGACAGACCCCCACATCCTCCTCGCAGTCGTTTCCGAGCAAGTCAGAAAGCTAGGCGCGACATCTGGGCGACACTATGCCGCAGAGCACGCCATCGTGGAGAGCCTCTTTTACGACTCCTTGTCGGCCCGGCGGGAATCTATCCCGGAAGCCCACAAAGATACCTTCTACTGGCTGCTCGACAAGACGAGCTCGAAGAAGCGGAGAGCACGGCACCCTGAGATCCGGCTTCTAGAGTGGCTTCGCGCAGGGGACGGAATCTACTGGGTGTCGGGAAAGCCAGGCTCCGGAAAGTCGACCTTGATGAAGTTTGTGTCTGACCACCCGGTGGTGCAGACCGCGCTCAACGAATGGGCGGGAGGACCAGAGCAATGCATGGTGGGTGCCTACTACTTCTGGAGCGCCGGAACGCCACTGCAAAAATCCGTCGAGGGGCTGTTGCGGTCGTTGCTGTTTGACATATTTGTCCGCCATCCCAGTCTCATCTCGGTCGCGCTGCCTGATCGGTGGGAGACGCTCAGCGGCCGGAGGACCGACGACGCGAGCCATCTATTAGTGGGTGTGGCCGGCCGGGCGGCGAAGCAATGGACCATCTCGGAGCTGTCGCAGGCGCTGGAGCGGCTGTCCTTGCACAAGGATGCCACGCAGCACTTTTGCTTCTTCATCGACGGGCTGGATGAATTCCACGGGGACCACCACCACCTGGTCAAGGTGCTGAAGACGCTCTCGGGGCATCCCAACATCAAGCTGTGCGTCTCCAGCCGTCCCTGGAACGTGTTTGAAGACGAATGGGGTTCGCAAGCATCCAAAAAACTCTCGCTCCATGAGCTGACCAGACTCGACATCCGCCGCTATATCTCGTCGACGCTCCGGGAGAGCCCGCAGTGGAAGACCGAGGCCGACAGCAACCCGAGCTACAAACGACTCATTCACGACATTACCGAGAGGGCGCAGGGGGTGTTCTTGTGGGTCATACTGGTTGTGCAGTCGGTGCTCGAGGGCCTCGGCAACGGGGACTCGATCATTCTCCTCGAGCGGAGGATGAAGGAGCTCCCGGAAGATCTGGGCACATTTTTTCGGCACATGCTCACATCGGTATCGCCCATTTACCGAAAGCGAATGGCCTTGTACTTCCAGATCCTGATCCACGCCCCGCACACGCTGACGCTCATGCACTTTTCCTTCCTGGACGAGTGCCTCGAGATGAACGGCCGCGCCGTGCTCGCCGCGCCGATTGCACCCATGGACGACCATGACATATTCAGCCGGCACGCGGTGATGCGGCGCCGCCTCAACGCCCGATGCAAGGGGTTGGTGGAAGCGCACCTCATCCCCGCCGAGACGCGGAGCTATCTGTCGCGTCAAGTCACCTTCCTGCACCGCACCGTCCGGGACTTTCTGCGCACCGACGAGATGACACGGTTTCTCGCCGAGTTTCTGGCCGACTACGCGCTCAACACGGCCATGTTGATGGCCTACATTTCCTTGATCAAATCGTTGCCTAGCCCTGCGGCTGCCAGGGCACAGCTGCAAGACGCGCTTGTCTACGCGGCCAGGGCCGAAGACGAGTCGCCCGAGACCGTGGTCGCCTGCGTGGACGAGCTGCACGACACCATGACCAGGCTCGCCCTAATGGACGCCCAGTCGAGCGAGATGGTGCGATGGGTCGTGCAGAGCGGTCTTTGCCGATACGTGAGGCAAAGCATCCACGACGGTGCCCCCGGGTTCGACGACCCGAGTCGCCTGATCGAGTTTGCGCTCACTGCAGCAGCCGACCCGGAGTCCCGGGCGGACATGCTCCCCATGGTTTCGACCATCTTGGACGCCGCAGACGCACACGGCTCCAGACTCACCGCCGCGGTGTTGAGTCGGTATTTGCGCGCGGTCGGCACGAACGTGCAACGGTGGCAGGAGCCTGATCTCGCGCTCCGGCAAAAGAAGATGATACAATTCGTGCTCGGCTCGGCTGGAATGAGCAGTGACTTCGCAACCCCGGATCTTGCTGGGGCGTGCCAAGCACTGTTTACCTCGCTGATCTTGGATGAATGGGAACTCATGCCGCCAAGTGTTGTTGACGCCCGCGTGGAAATCATTCTGGCCCTCTTCGCCCACGGGCGCGCAGACCCCAACTCGCTTTATGCCCCGGCCGATGGGGCCGAAGTCGTCGACTCAACTGCCGTTGTAGCCGGGTCGGAATGTTCTACCGACACGGTATGGACGTGGTTCTGCGCCCAGCTACGCAAGCGGGAGGGGGCAATGCAGAACGGCGGTGTCTCCGCAGAAGCCCTCGCCAGGTGCACTGAGGTTTTGGTGCAAGCAGGAGCAGAGCTAGGTCACAACGGGTCGCTGCAATCGTCGGAGCTTTCCATCATGTTCCCCCAGCGGGCGGCGGGTCGCATCGGCGACGTCATGGCGAAGCGTCGGCAGGATGTTCAGCATGCTGATCCCAGTGGCA